CGTACCTGTTTTTGATAGCCACTGAACTTCTAAATATACATATTAGAGAAAGCTCCTTAAAAGGAATATCTATTGAAAACACTGAAGTGGTAATAAGCCAGTTAGCGGATGATACTGTTTTGTTTCTGAAGGATGCCTCACAGATTGCTACAGCAATAGAAATTCTTGAACCCTTTTAAAGCCTCAGGTCTCTGCCTTAACATAAATAAATGTGAATTATTACCAGTGGGTAATTGTTCAGAATCTCTAATTTGTAACATCCCTGTGAGAGAGAGTGTGACATATTTGGGAATTAAAATAATTAAGGATGATAAAAGTAGATGTATTTCCAATTTTCTACCAATTATTGAAAAAACGAAAAAGATGATGAACCATTGGCTACAAAGAGATCTATCAATCAAAGGCAGAGTTCTGAAGGTATTTCTAGATTGTCATATACAGCTCAGCCTATTTCAGTTGATAAGCACACAAACAAACTAATTGACGGAATGTTGACAAAATTTCTTTGGAAAAACAAAATTCATTATATTAAAAAATCAGTAATGCTGAATTCTTATGACAAAGGCGGCTTAAATTTTATTGATTTTAACTCACTTAATGGTAATTTTAAAATTAATTGGATAAGACAATTTCTTATAAATAGTTCTTCTATCTGGAATATTATCCCCCGTTTCATTTTCTCTCATATGGGTGGTTTAGAATTTCTATTAATGTGTAATGGGCTCTATGCACGGCGGCGCGTGACGCATTTCCGGTAAAATTTAAGACCCCGAGCCTACTTCCGCCGATCGTACAGTACAGTGCTACAACAGGAGCGCTACTGATAAAAACGAGTAATGTTTTGGACAGTTGTCTTAATGTTTTATGCCATTATAGCCCACTTATATATGTTTATGTCAGCTACATAAATATGACATCTAAACGTTTAAAAGTGTCATTTCAAAGACGTGAGAACAGTACTTGTAGATACCACTGCTGTGTTCAGCAATGCACAGCGTCAAAAATTGAACTCTTACCTTAGTTTCCACACGTTTCCAAAAGACAAAGTCGTGCAGAAGAGGTGGGTTGTTGATATTAAACGTGAGAATTTTACAGAAACAGAAAAAAAACAAGAGTGTAGCTGACAATTTCAGTCTAGAAAACTGATCGAGGCTCGAGTGCCAACCGGATGCAGACATTTAAAGAAAGGAGCTTTTATGGCAAATAATAGTTTGTTTTCATTGTCTTTGAAGTAAAAAAAAATGAACATTAATATACATAAACATTTCTTAAGCTACTTTCTAAGTGCAATTTTTTAATTCAGAATAAAGACCTTTATTTTATTCACTGTACATATAAAATATAATTCACTGTATGTAATTTGAAATAAAAATTGTCATTTTGAAAAAAATATTTTATTCAGATGAACAGAAAAAATGACATTGAATCAGTTGTTTTCTTGAATCAGGTGCTTCTTCTGTAACTTGTGCATAAAGAGGTATTTGGGCTGATACGTATTAAATAAATAAATAAATCACCCATCTGTTTCATGGAACTTAACACATAATTGATCCATTCCAAACAATTGTTCATGTGACAACACACATTACACATTTCAGAGTAATGGGCTGTCTGGAAAAGCAAAGCAACCAAATGTTTGCATATCCCACTCTCAGCCACACAAGAGCAGGAGCTATAAACTAGCAGACGATGGCATGGATCTTCTGACGGATGTCCGCTCCAGGATGAAGTAACACATAAAATTTTCTAGCTCTGAATCTCATAATGTTACCTAGAAAACAGAAACAAGAATATTAATAGGTTTTTAAAGAGAGTCATTAAAGGCAGTTCACTCAAAACTGAAAATTCTATTTCCTCATCCTTCACTTGTTCCAAACCTGTTTGAGTTTCTTTCTGATGTTTAACATAAACAAAAATACTTTGAAGAAAGCTGGAAACTTGCAACCACTGATATTCATAGTAGTTCTTTTTCATACTATGGAAGTCAATGGTTACAGGTTTTCAGCTTTCTTCAAAATATCTTCTTTTTAAAGGCATCTGCAGCAATATCATCAGATTAAACTACACAGTAAATAATTAATTTAAATTATTTAAAAGTAGCTCCCTTTAGTCACACTTTAAAATAAGGTTTCATTAATTAATGTATTTGCTCACTATTAAAATAACTATTTAATATTTAATAGTTAACATTGTTAAACTAATTTACTAATGAATAAAAATCCAAAGTCATGCTTGTTAACATTAGCTATTACATTGTGAGTTAACAAGCACAATGAATAAGCATTTGTTCATTAATGTAAAAAACTAATAAATATTGAAATAGACAAATTGATGATGTGAAATTAACTAATGACACCTTATTGTTTTGGGTCACCCTCCCATTTAATTACAGTGTTATCGACTAAATAGAAAGCATGCTATCTACACTGTTACACTGCATCTGTCATCTCCAATGTTTCAGCAATAAATCTCAGCATTGACACAGTGCTATTTGTCTGTTGTGGATGGAACGGCATTGTATTATTTTATTCCTAATATATCTTGCTCAATAATCATGCTTACAAGCTAAGACAGCATCTGTGTTTCTGTAATTATCCGAACTGAACAGTGGTGGTCACTTTAGAACAGTAAAAGTATGAATGGGACAGAACTTCTCATGTATGCTGTCCTACTCTCAGCTGGTGAGGAGACTCCGATTTCTTCATAGATCTATCGGTAGTAATGAGCTCTAACTGAGATCTTATTCCTGCCCTGTTTTTACCTGACACTTTGAGACAGAATTACATACACATATGATTATTTTTACTTACGTGATAAAGCTGCAGATGGACGGATCGTAAGAGTATTAACGCTAAAGTTAGCCTTCAGGCTAGCTGAACTTACCTTCATAATTGCACAGGTAGGAAGATGCATACAACTTGAAACCCTTCTCAAGCTTTGCTCTGCGGTGTTGTAGAGCACATCCGGACAAGCATTTGCACATCGTTGACCATAATTTACTCGCAAACAGCGAGTAAATATTGACGACTCTGCCATAATACTGTTTACCTCCGCTTAAAATCACCCAGACCGGAAGCTGGACCGCGGCCTTAGACAAAACGCGGAAGTAATGCGTGCATATAGCCCATTACAAAATTGAAAAACTCCCAATCAAACTCTCTAAATTTCATCAACAAGTGCTTACAACATGGAGGCTTATTTATAAACACAACTTCTCCCCACATAGTTTTCATATTTGGAATAATGCCAATATCATGTATAGAAATAAGTCACTATTCTTTAACAATTGGTTTAACAATGGACTATTATTAGTTAACCAATTATTTGATAATGCCGGAAATTTGTTTACATTTACAGAATTTATGGCAAGATACAAAATTCCTGTTACATTACAGGAATTTACTATTCTAACCGGGGCAATACCCACTGGCATACATATGCTGTATAAAGGCAGTGTATGTACATCAGCACTTACTGTTTGTCCTCCTAAACCTGAACAAACCTCGGTTGGGTTTATCTGTTTCTCTGGATTTAAGCCTAATAATCACAAAATTAGATCTTTAATCTTAAAAGAAAATATGTCTATACCGTATGTTATTTTTTACTGGAACAATATCTTTAATAATTCAAACTGGACTCAAGTTTGGTCATTACCTCAACATTTTTTTATCACAAATAAAGCTAAAGAAATATCATTTAAATTACTTCATAGAGTTTATCCCACAAAATTATTTCTACAAAAATTTTAAATTGATATTGAGTTAGAATGCTGTTTTTGCGAAAGCTTTAATGAAACTATTTCACATTTATTTTGGTCTTGCCAATATACTCGACTATTTTGGATCAATGTTGAAGCTTTTATTGCTCATAATATCTTAAAAACCTTTTCCTTATCTTATAAACATGTGATTTTGGGTTTTTAGGTTAAGGATCGCTCTTTAAAAGATGCTGGTTTTATTATAAATTTTATTTTATTATTATGTAAATTTCACATACATAAATCCAAGTTTTCCAAAAGCAAACCTCTCTTCATGGTGTTAGAAAAAGAGATTCAAATGTATATAAAAGTGATTTCCAAGTCTCAAAATAGAAAAGCAATTAAAACAATTAATATATGCTCCTCCTTTAACATTTTTACATAAAATGTTTGTATATATGCATTTCCTGTAAAAAAAAAAAAGTGCATTACTAACTCTTGTAAATAACTAATATTATAAAATGTGCGAAACATATTTGTATGTAATTTGATAATTATGTACCCTCTCCTCTGTTATTTTATTTATTTTTTGTTTTTTTTTCTCTTCTTTGTTTTTTCACTTATTTCATTCTTGTTAGGAAATGTAAAGTGATTGTATTGTATTGTATAAGAAAACTGTACATGCTGGTTCTTGTTAACAAAACAAAACAAAAAAAAAAACTAATGCTTTAATAAACTGTGCTAATCATTCACTTACAATAGCATTATAGTTCACTATTATCCAGCAAGTTTTTACGCAGCGGATGCCCTTCCAGCCGCAACACATCTTTGGGAAACATCCGCACACACACACACACACACTCATACACTACGGACAATTTAGTCCACCCTATTCACCTGTACCGCATGTCTTTGGACTGTGGGGGAAACCGGAGCACCCGGAGGAAACCTACGTGCAGGCAGGGGGAAAATGCAAACTCCACACAGAAACTGCGCCACTGCCTCGCCACCTTCACTATTGGAATTCATAACTTGATAATCCATTGTCTGTAATATTTTTTTTGCATGAGTAAAATTTGCATTTCACAGATTTTTCGTAATAATTAAAACAATGGTAAATCTGATAAATGATTAGAAATGATCCTTATATCAGGGATTATTCATTGCAGTCTTCTTGTTTTGTTTTAATTCATTGATGCAAATTAGGTCTGTAAATCATTTTTCATTATTCTGTAAACATTAAATGAGATCTGAATCACTAACCCTAAACAAAAGAGTTTTTGAATTAGAAACACTCAATAATATGAATCAGCCTTTCAGTTCAAGCCTGCTGCAGTCGCTCTTCTTCTTGGAAAGGTCAGTGCTGATCCTTGTTCTGCAGATTCTGACGTTTTAAATCTGCTTGTGGTGTTTTATTTATTTGTATATGGGTGTAGGGTCCACCCAGTTGGTCCAATGACGGTATCCAATGGTGGATGAAGGTTCACTGCATGTTCGGTCTTTCCAGTGCACAATGTTGATTTATATTAAACTTAACTCATATCTGACTCCAATTTTAGTATGAGGTGGTTTAGAATATTAATATATTTATCCTCGTTTTATCTGACTCCAATTATAAAACATTGATAAGATTATTTTGTTTCCTTTCACATTATTTTAGATTATGATTGAATATTCTTTTGATTTGTTATTATACCTTATTCTCATTTACTCAGATTCCTATAGCATCTCGATTCTTGCACCGGCCGGGTATACAATCTCTTAATACAAGCTCGTCAGTCTTGGTCATTAAACAGAGGCGATTAACCACTCTCCTAAAGTGGCAGAACCCTATACTTACTCAATTTAGGAGATTTTTTATGTGGTCCCCATAGATCTGTTATCTACTTAATCAAGACAAAGTATTTTAATAATAATCGCACAGGATTATAAGCTTGTAGATGAAGGCCTAAATACCCACATTTAGATTAGTTTCAACAATATTTTGTTGTTCTAAATAGAAAACTCATAGTTGGCCTTTTACAGTCTAAGTATACTTGAATTAATGCCAATATGTTAGTCGGATCTCTAGCAACATTGTATAGCGTGCCACACTGCTCCGTCTAACATGTTTTAGTCCGTTACTAACCTGTACAGTGGCTTGTAGTGCTATGGACAACAACATTTATCAGTGATAATAACACGAGGACTGTTTGAATAATTCAAAACATAACAATTTATTAGTCAGGTAAATGTGTATTATGCCAATTCAATCAGTCAATTCATAAAAGATCAATAAATACATCAAGTTACCAAAGATAAATCCAAGATTAAAAGATGCATTCCTGACTTTAAAATATACATAACATGGAGCATAAGCTCCATGTTACGGGCTGATCGGGGTAAGCAGAATTGCGCTGAGCCTTTCTCAAACCATACCTCAAGTAATCCAAGAATTCCCTCAAGGACAGGGGTGTGTGCATAACAAAAGGCACTTGCATTTAGTGCTGCCTGTGGAAAAGTCACACCCTTCACAGTGGTTCAAAAGATGCCTGAAGTTATATATTTATTGTTTTGATTATGTCTATTTCTGAGAGAATGAGACCATTGTACCAATCACACTGAGACATTTCAAATGATATCAAACATGATAGATAAAGTCACTTAGGTTAATCTGGAACATTCAAACATTGAAATGACCATATGTGTGAGTTGGGGTGGTTGAAGCCGAGTTTCAGCAGACTCAGATGCAAATGCAGCAGGAATTGGTTTTTCCCGCATTCCCACCTGCTGGGTTGTGGTCAACAGTTGTTATGACTTAAATTGATATGTAGCTGCAAGAGTGATTAATTAATGCTCCATTTATCGTTTAATTGTCATAAAGTGAATTTATTTACCTTGGCATTTATATATGCTGTTTTGCTTTAAGAACAGTTTTCCTATGATGCTTAGCGCTACTGAAAGCGCGCCTGTAACCATTGGCAACTGACTCAGTGTGAGAGAGTGTGTGTGTTCGGAGTTTTGCTCCTGCTTCAGTATACAAAAACTTCAGTAAACAGTTCATTTTCGTTCTAAACAAAGTTTTCCAGTCGTCATTATTGCTGCTAGATGAAAAGACAGAACAACAGTCTCTGTTGTCAGCTCATGTTTTGAATTGTCAAAGACATCAAAAATATTTGTAATATTTCAATTCTTACATGGGCTTATTTTTGTGATGAAGAAACCCACAGTAATGATAATAAATGAGTGGATTGTGACAGATCCACAGATGCTTTCAGATTTGTGCTCATCATCTATAAGATTTATCCTTTCTCTTTTTTTATTACAGGTTTTTACAATTGTTTTGCCACAAATTTCCGAACTTTGGTATCAATTTTCAAAAGTCTAGACACAAAATTCACAACCTTTGCCAAAATTGTACATTTTTGCAAAAATTTTAACTCTTTTTTTTCAACTGCTTGGATACAACACACACAAGTCAAACATACTTTATTCATTGAACTAAGATCACCTTTTCAATATAACACAATTAAACTTCAAATTGATCCCATTTCAAAATGCAACTCAAACATTACAATTGAAATAACCATGTATTCATTTAATTAACATGTTGTTATTATCAACTGATACAAGCACTCAAAATAATAATTAACTGTTGCATTACTCTGGATGTATGAAAACTTTTGTACAATATTACATGTTTAGATGATGAAATAATCAGGATAGATCAAATGACATCAGTTACCACAGAAGATGACCCAACTGAACTACATTATCTATAGATGTCCTCTTTATTCATCCTTAGTCCATATTTATGGTTTCTTTGTTCTGTGTACCACTTTTACAGACAATGTTTATATATTTGACATCACTGTAAGAAAGCCCAGTCACAGCAGACCAATGTCAGGCCTGGATTTACATTGACAGAAGGTTCTTTCCAAGATTTCTGAGTAATGAAAACACCACTGAAATGTAGAGGAGAACCCGTGACCAAATCCACAAGACCAGACTGATGGTAACACAAAATCCCAAAATAGAAATCTGATATATAGACATATATGCAAATTACATATGTGACATAATAGTTCATATGAATTTTACATATATAAAATATGTTATACATGTCAAAATATTGCCATTTGTTAAAATATTAGAATTACAAATATGTAGATATATGTTACGTATATATATGATCCATTATGTTATATATTTTACCCCTACAAAAAAAAAAATATATATATATATATGATATGGTTGAAAAAAATATAAACAATGATTTTTTCACTATTTTGACAAATTATTGACTATTATGACATTTTATAATAATGTAATTTGCAGATGGGACCATATATCATGTCATTTATCAGCTTTCTATATGGGGACGTGAAGTGAGAAAAAAAAACAGTAAACCTACATTATGATGGAATGAATAAAACTAGTTCAGTATATCCACTGTCTGCACTGTTTCCCTTTACACTTATAGACCATAATGAAACCTGTATCATATATTTTAAACAACAATATTTAATGATTGTTAATGATTGTTTATTGAAGCGATGTACATCTTGTGTGCTGCTGGTGATCTAAAGTAGTGTTCCTGTAGTATTTGTATTATAAAAGGATTATGTGAATCAATGATCCTGCAAATGCAAGACTTCTTTAAGGAAATGAATGCTGTATGCAGAACACTGGAGAGTGTTAAAAGTAGTGACTGTTTAGGATTTTGTGTCTAGAGTTTTTTTAATTGACATCAGGGTTCTGAAATTTGTGGCAAAACAATTGGAAAAAAACTGTAACACATAATGAAGATCAAGGGCAAACAAATAAATGATGATATTTTATTGATTTTAACACATAATGAAGATCAAAGGCAAACATGAAGGGATTTACATTATAAACGCATCAGGAAATGATGAGATTAGAGAGTTTTAAATCATTTTAACATACAGAGATGAACATTTGTAGAAAATACATTTAAAGGTGTTTTTAAAAAGTGTTAAATTACTTTAAAACGGAAAAACAAATCGCCAATAGGTGGCAGCAAGAGACCTCTTTAATCGAGTGAAGCTTTAAGTGATTCATTCAGCCACGAATCCCTGATTCAGTGACTCGCCCGACTTTATACAGAGTCCTGAATTATTCGTGTAAGGAAACGCCACTGTGTATTATTCAGAGATGTACAACTGTTCTGCTGTTTATTTTATTATTATCATAGTAATGATTTCACTATTATTAATGAGAAAATAACGCGGAAGTTTTTCAGCGCCTCGTCACGTGATCGTCAGCATCCATGGCAACGGTTCTTTTTGTGTTGTTTTGAACTCCACTCTGTCATTGGCATCTGATCTCGGCGTCCTTCGTGGCAACTGATTCCCAGATTATTGATATTATTGATTGTTGGATACATCGATTGATCGTCTGCTTCTCCCATCATTCAGGTTTGACCCTTGTTATCACACTGTGTTTTGTGTTCAGTATGTCTTGTGTTCATTACAGGTTTCAGAGTCGACTCACCTACGACTCGCTCCAGTTTGAGGGCCTCAACATCACTGTGGGAGAGCTGAAGCGGCAGATCATGAGGCGCGAGAGGCTGAAGTTCTGCCAGCTGAAGATCAGCAAAGCCCAAACTGATGAAGGTGAGATGAGGAAAAGCCACTTAAACTATATTACACTAACATTAGATGTGTTATCAGACAGACTTGTAGAAGCTGACATGTGTTATCATGACTCTGATGGTGACATATAGTGATGTTTTGAGTGTTTTAAAATGCTAATGGCACTCAAAGTATACCATGGTAAATGATTAATACTATATTCAAACTTTATTTTGCTGTCAGAATACACAGATGATGATGCTCTCATCCCCAAAAACACATCGGTCATCATCAGACGGGTACCTGCGGCTGGACTGAAGTCCTCCAACAGAAGATTTGTTGGGTAAGTCATGTGAAATGAGCGCAATCGTCCACTGATAGATGTTATATCAAGAGTTTGAGTCTGTCTGTGGTGTTTTAGTCACACAAGCTCCTTTGTTTTGTTTTGCAGACATCAAGCTGGACCATCAGCTAAATCTTCTCAAACAGGTGATTCTTCACTCCTCTCACTGGAGCAGCTGTTGAAGGTATTGAACAAATGATTAATTCACCCCACTGTGCTGCTCTGTATTGAACTGCAGTGTTTGCATTTGAGGCGTCATAATGACATGTAGTGCAGAATATCAATACACAGTGTTTAGCAAACAACAATACACACAAACACACACACACACACACACACACACACAAACACACAGCTTCTTAGGGAGATTTGAGGGTGTTTATTTAGAGCAAATCAGTGAAATTAAATTCTAATGTGCAAATGCCTGTGAAACAGACTGAGAATCTGGCTGAGGCAAAGGCATCAGAGGAGGACAAGCTAAAAGCGGTGATGTACCAGTCCAGTCTGTGCTACTACTCCAGCAGGTGAGCGTTCAGACACTGACAGGTTTGGTTTGTGAGAAATGTTAGAGCTGATTCTCATGGTTCTGATGTTTATCAGTGAGGCCATGACACTGCTTGGGCTTCTTCCACCCAACTATGTCTGCTTTCACTGTGGGATCCCAGGACACCACATTAGGCACTGCCCCTCTAAAGGGGTAACTGGGTTTTCTAAGCTTATGGTTGCTGTGAACTTGAGCTCTTGTCTCCATCAGTCAGGTTGTTTGCTCTGTCGTTTGACTGTCACTCATGAATTCACAGGGCAGCAGCTCTGCTCCGCACAAGCGCATCCGGAGGAGCACAGGGATTCCCCGCAGCTTCCTGTTGGAGGTGGACGACCCAAACCGAAAGGGAGTCATGATGGACGGCAGCGGCAAATACGTCATTCCCATCATAGACGCGTGAGTAAACTGTACTTGGCATTGCAGCATGTTTTAGTGTTTGTGAAAATCTCACATTATGTCTGCTTGTGTGTGTTTGCGCTCGATCTGTTCAGTGAGGCCTATGCTGCTGAGAAGAAAAAGAGGCCGTCCTTCTCCTGCCAGACCAAGCCGCTGTCCTCCTCTTCCTCAGCTGGTGCAGCATCTTCAGTCCAGGACGCCAGAGGGAAACGTTCCCGCTCCCCATCTCCACCAGAGACGCACGGAGACCAGAAGAGACCACGTCACTGAGAGACCTTCACCCAAGAGACCTGGAGCCGACGTGAGCACAGTGTATATATTGTACATAGTTTATGAATAAAACTGAATAAAGATTATAGCAGCATAAACTGTGGACTGGTTGACCTTCACACAATACAGAAACACAACAGAAAATGATCAACACATTAAGATAGAAATGATGAACAAACATGCTGCGGGAGAACCAGTGTGCTGTCCTGCTCAGAATCTAAAACTTTTAGTTAAAGTTTATTTCAGAGGTGCTTCAGGGAAACTTTTTCTTATGAAAGGCCAAAAACTAAACTCGTCTGAGGGTGGTGGGCTGGAGGTAAATCTACCAAACTGTAAAATTGTCAATGTAATTTCCTAATTTATTATTATTATTCATTATATAATTTACATGATTCACTGAATACTGTAATTTACAACATTTCAAATTCTTTAATTGTATTAATAATTATACATTTTATAATGAATGAAAGTCTTACAATAAAACATGAACAATCCCATTTATAACACTAAAATACACTTTGCCTTCGCTTGCTGATGTCTTCTGTAATGTCTGCTCTCCTTCAAGTGACTATTATTTTATTTGATTCATTCACAACATTTCATTGAAACGTTTAATTTCAGTTTGTTTATTTTTGTATCTCAACAGTTAAAAAATAAAGTTATGTTGTATTAGAAATGACAATCTCTGTTAAAGACTTTCCCCCAAAACTCCCCATCATTCTCCCTCTCTTCTCAGATGGGATGAAGGGCCAAATCAAAGGTTACTGTGGATCCGCTTTGGCCCACGGCCCTAGTTTGGGCATCTCTGGTTTACACCGATGACATGCTCATCTAATCAATCCTGGCCAAACAAAATGTTGCAGCTCATCTGGTCTTCAATGATCCCAAGAGAGCCCACGTCACACCTCTCTTACCTCTCCACTTACACTGGCTGTCAGCTGAAGGTTCAAAACATCTCCACTTGCTACTTGCTACACTTGCCCCTCTGTCCAGAAGTGAGCACTGCCTCTTAGAACCATGCCATCAAGGATTTGGGGGTGTTTAACCCTTCTGTGCTGTTGGTGAAGTTTTGGTCCACTCTGGGCTGATTTTGAGGCTTAATTTACCAACAACTTTCTCTGTGGTTCAGCAAATGGGATGATTTTTGGAGACAAATCTTGTTGACACATATTTTGGGAAAATACTTTTAGAATTTTTTAAAAACTCAACAATACACTCTGAGCAAATTTATCACCCTTTCATTGTGTTCATGGCTGTTTTTGCCCAAATGATTTCCATTATTTTTAAATGCAACGTCATGACAGCGTATAATCATGCATTCTTGATTGTTGGTGGTTTTTCCTGTTGGGAAGAGGTAAGATTTGTGATTTTTACTGGTGATCATCAGTTACAGTTCAAAAAAGCTTGATTTCTTGCTTTTATTTGGTGTTTAGTGAGTGTGTGAGGTTGTAAGAGAGACTTTTACACATATATTGATGTGTAGGAGAAAATACAAAATAGGCACCTCAGCTGTCAGAACATAGTAAGTGTACTTATGCATGCACTCTATAAATTGCAGTTTTACTCCACAGAACTCCATATAAAAGTCAGACACGCTTTTGCACGGGGCAATGTAAAGGATTTAATGGTGCCAACTGATGATCAACAGTAAAAATGAAATTTGACCTCTTCCTAAGTGGGAACCCACTAACCAGAGTTGCTGCTGGTCAAAAGGAGACCCTAAGATAATTTTTACTGCAGTGCTTCAGCAGAGAAACAAAAACACACAAACATATGTATTTAAATGTGTATTCATTTATTATATATAAAAATATGCATATAAACACTCAACATTAAATGTTTCATAAAATAACAGTTTACGTCAAACACTGACATGTCTTCTGCAGAAGGATTCCTAATTGCAAACATTTACAAAGGTTGTCATAAAACCCTGTCTGAAGCTGTAGAGATAGACGGTCCTCGGTGCTGCATGCTGTATCTGTAACGGTCAGCTGCTGGGCCCGGTTTTTCAAAAGGTTTAATCCGGATCAAATTGATCCAGATTTAGTAGTTCTGTTTTTGCGATCCGTGATCAGGTAATCCAGCTTACTTTTTGAGCCAGTTTTTCAGAGCAACATCGAATTGGATCAAACTGATCCGGATAGAAACTTTTCAGGATCACTAAATCTGGATTACCAGTGCTCAAACAGGATAGGAAATCACAATGTAGAACTATAGATATGTAAAGAGTGACAAGTAGAATAGCCAGCGTGGGGTCAATATAACTTTATTTTTTTTAAAATGAAAACTAAGAAAATTTAATAAATATTAAATTAATAATAATAATAAATAATAAAACAAGAAAAAGCCCACCCCATCCTCTTCCAGCAGTCCGCTCATCTGAGACCTACACCACAAACACTGTACATTGAGGATATTTATAATAAGTTTCAAATATAGATGTAAATAAAAAAAAAGACTTAATGTCAAAAACTCCACAATAATCTCAGACTTCCTCATCTGATGTGGAGAGAGCAGCTTGTCTGAGCGTAGCCTTTAGGAGGCGGATCTCAAGTGTGGCCTTGGTTTGCTGCAGTTTGGTCAGAGTCAGTTGTTCCCCCGCCAGACGAAGCTGTGCTTCTGCCCTTTCAGTCTCTTTTTGCAATTGTTGAAAGAGATTTCAAAAATCAGTCATTGCCATTCTTTGCATTTTTTGTTTATTCTGTAATCATTGCATGCATCACTAATAAATATTCTAAAATGAAAAATATTTTTCATTGTGATGAATATATATATCAATTAGTGACAAAATAAAATTGATTGTTTTTGGTCAATTTTCACAGCTGTTTGGGGGATTATTTTATGAGGCCAAACTCTTTCTACGTTGCTGGAGGCCTATACTGAAAGGCTAAATACATTAAAGCCAATAATCACTATAGCCTGACGGATGAACAAATAAAATTAAAACCTTATGAATAAATAGTATATATCGTAAGATACTGCATGATCCAAAAATAGTATTATTTTATACATTTTTTAAGTTTTCATTACATTTTAGGCATGAAATCCACGCTAAATCCACCTTTCTGGTGGAATCAGTTTAATCCAGGTTTTTTGGATCAAAGTGATCCAGATCCTACAAAAAAGGTCTGAAAAACCCAAACTAAAGGTTTGATCCGGATCAAAACCAAGATTAGATTACGTGATCTAATCCGATTAGGTAATCCGTTTTTTTCTTTTGATAAACCCATTTTCAAGATTTGATCCAATCCCTTATCCAAAATCCTAGTGGATTACTTTTGAAAAATCGGGCCCTGGTGTCAATTTTCAAAACTCTAGATACAAAATTCACAACCATTGCTAAAATTGCACATTTTTTTGCAAAACCCTTAACTCTTTTTTCAAATGCTTGGATAAAACACACACAAGTCAAAAATACTTTGTTCATTGAACTCAGATCACCTTTTCAATATAACACAATTAAACTTCAAATTGATCCCATTTCAAAATGCAACTCAAACATTACAATTGAAATAACCATGTATTCATTTACTTCACGTGATGTTATTATCAACTGATACAAGCACTCAAAATAATAATTAACTGTTGCATTACTCTGGATTTATGGAAACTTTTGTACAATATTACATGTTTAGATGATGAAATAACCAGGATAGATCAAATGACATCAGTTACCACAGAAGATGACCCAACTGAACTACATTATCTATAGATGACATCTTTATTCATCCTTAATTTTTTATATTTATGGTTACTTTGTTCCATGTACCACTTTTACAGACAATGTTTTTATATCTGACATTACTGTATGTATGTGAGAAAGCCCAATCACAGCAATATCAGGCCTGGATTCACATTGACAGAAGGTTCTTTCCAAGATTTTTGACTTATGAAAACACCACTGTGATGTAGAGGAGAACCAAACCCACAAGACCAGAAAGATGGAAACCCAGATCCTAAAATAGAAATCTGATATATAGAAATATATGCAAATTACATATGTGACATAATAGTTCATAAGAATTTTACATATATAAAATGTCATACATGTCAAAATATTGCCATTTTTTACAGTTTTTCTTGTTTGCTTTGACCTGGTTAAAGAAACTAGGTTCCACTTCATTTTCATTTTCACTATCCCAGCAGAGCAGAAGACAGGTCTTGCAAATTTGTAAACCTTTTCTCATTGGGTTGACACATTTTCCTTAGCATTTTTCAAAACAGTTAACACAGATGTCATTCAAGCAGTCCAAACTCCATTGTTTTAGCTATGGTAACCAAACAGAGACCATCTATTCCTAACCATTAGACACTACCA